GAAAACAAGTGCGTCAGGGGGTAAGGTTTCCAATACCGTTCCGCACGCCATTATTCGGTTCTGGAAATCACGTGGTGACAATTCTTGCATAACAACCATCTTATAGGGATGGAAATGAAGATGTTCGTGAAGAATTCGATGCATTGAACGATTGGATATGTCTAGGGCAATTGCATGTTTGCGAGCGGAGCGTCTTGGAGATCTCAAAATCGACTGTCGAACTGCCTCCACATTTTCTGGCATCGTAACGGTCCATTGTCGTCCTGACGATTTTTTCACCACACTCCCGGTTGTCCTAAAGTTCTCTACCCACAAAACAATCGATTTCTGGTAGGGAGCTGGACCTCTGGGCTTAATTCCAAAGTGAGTATGGAAGAACGCACGCTGCACCGCCACACAGGAATGGTTGTTCAAAAATTAGGCTTCGACAGCAAACGCACACTGCTCACTCATCCACCTCATGTTTCCTACTGAGGGGCCTTAGACAGAAACTTCCACGACTGCTGCATTCGCCAAGCCTATCCCCTCTTTCCTGCGACTTCCTTCCCTTCACAATGCGTCTTCACAAAAAGGAAGTTTCTGTGCCCCACCCTGTATATTATATTTGGTATTACTGAGTTTATGGGCTTAGTTCATCATCTAATATTGTGAAGGCACACAATGTTTTGTCAACTGATCTCTTTTTGTACTCAGGTAAAGACATGGAGAGGAACCTACTCAGTTGCAAATGACTAAGATTAAATCTTCCTAGTGAACAGAACTGAGTAGGTGCTTCCCCAGACTTTTCACCAGAGAATGGAAACACATCCAGATACAGATCTACTAGCCTTACCATGTGAAGTAAATTAGGTGTCATAACATATTCACAGAACTTTTAGCCAACTTTTGATCATCTACACAGGATTTAGAGAACATTGGTCTTTTCATTAAATAAATATTTACATATCCATATGGATTACATTCTTTTCAAAATACCAGAAAAGTTCATTATTTTATTTTACAAGCAACAGAATGGAATTAACTACTGACATTAAGCACCTTGATAAAAACTGTCTGAAGAGTGGGTGACGAGAGAGTGGGAGGTGGGCAAGCAGACAGACAGTAAAATTAGTGGCACTTCAGTATAATAACATTACAAATTACAAACCAATTAGATTCATTACTGCAGACAAATCTTTCATCATTTCTCATACTAAACTAAAACATCCAAAATTAGATTCCAGCTGTTTTCTACTTACATCAGCCACTTCCAGAGCCTTAGGAAGCAAAAATAGCCACCATCAGGAAATTAAAAAAATTTCATTATGTTTCCCACATAATAAGTAACATAAATTAAACACTGAGATAATATCAAGCTTTTCACATGCAAGCAGTTACTGCTAGAAAAATAATACAAAATACAAAGTTGTGGAATAAAAAATGTTACATTTCCACAAAGCCCTTCATGTATCATCTTCATTTATTTATTCCCGGTTTATGTAACAGATTTTCCAATTGAAGACTATAATGCACTGAATGATAGGATGATTAATGAACAATGAATTGGAAGAGGTGTGTAGGGAAGTGGCTGTAGCTAATTTAAAATACTGTCCCAGCATTTGCTTGCAGGAACTGACGTAAACAACATATCACTTAGGATGGTCAGTCTCCAAGTCAACATTTCAATTAAGGACATCCTGATTATGAAGCACAAGCGCTAACTGCTCTACTAAAACATTCGGTACACCTATCATGTCTGTTACCATATGTAATAAACATAAACAACGAAGATAAAAATTAAATTACATAGAGGATCTGTTGTCTGTACCACCAAGTTTCATGCTCCTGATTATTATGGAGGTGAAAGAGAGAAAACTAACATCTAGAGTAATACCTGTACCTTGTGAGATATTTGAAGGAAACAGTTACAACTGCTTTGTGTGCTATCCTAAAGAAAGAGCCTTTTCCTTACATTACTAAGGAGATTTCAATTAAATCTGATATCTTGCGAATTTTTATTAAAAATTGTCAGCCAAGTTTTATTTTGGTTCACCTTCCTCAAATATAACCTTTACATGAAAGTCAAATTAATTTTCTCAAAAGCAGATCATCATACAAAACATGGTACATAACATAAAATGCAGACCTCATTAAGACCTACAGCTTTTATTTGAAATATTTTTCAGCATTATTCGTATTCAATGTACAAGAAATTTTTTATTCTATGCAATGTAATATGTATAGTCTGTTTTCATATGTAACAAGAGATCTGTGCCTGAAATTATAAAAAATCACGGTTTTACAGCTTGAGACCTGGTTTTCAATGTCATTACAGCCTTGCCCCCAACAAATGTAGATTTCTAGGTGTCAAGGTTATACATATAAGGGCTCATATGTTACTGATTCTATAGTTTCATGTGCAACATATCTTTCTACAAAACATACTAAAAGTTATTCACTTCAAGGTATGTCACAGGTGAAACAGTGGAAACAGCAACACTTGATACCTAGTGATGTGCAGGAGGATGCTACAATAATATGAGGGCTATTTGGAAAGTTGTCATCTCCTCCTCCTCCTCCTATTTCTGCTGCTCCCATTTGGAGCACAAGGCTTATGTGATATGCTCGTTTCACTTCAGTTTCTTAATTTTAGACAGCTGGTAGGATTTCTTGGATAGGCCGTTGCAAGGTCACAACCTAACACAAACACAGAATAAACCCAGACATCCATGCCTTAAGTGGGATTCGAACTCACAATCTCAACATTTGAGCGAGCAAAGACATTTCATGCCTTAGATTGCTCGGCTATTGTGATCAACATTTGGCAACTAATGCAGGAGGGGAGAAGAGCTCGTGCATGTGAGGTAGCATCACATGACTGGTCACCCAGTGTCTGTACTTGTATCTTCAGAGTGTTATGATGTATCCTGTGACTGATTGTCCCACCAGCTGTGAAATTCACGCTGTTATCTGCTTTCTTCATGCTAAAATCATGAGTGTTGTGGAAATCCAATGTCAATTATGCACGTCTTATGACCAAAATGGAATTGGTGAAGGAACTGTAAGACAGTAGTGTAAAATGTTCAAAGATGAGCAAACAAATGTTCACAATGGGGAGTAAAGTGGTTGGTCATCTCTTGTGAGTGATTATCTTCTCCAAAGTGTTGACTAAAAATATGTGAAAGATAGCACTTCACAATTACAGAATTTTTGTGTGAATTTCCACAAATTTTAAGCACTGTTCTCTATGAGATTATCACAGCTAGGCTATGCTATCACAAGTTTTGTGCAAGATGGGTACTGAAAATGCAGAGAATGGCTTTAGCTTTGACTTTTTAAAGCAATACCACAAAGTAGGCGATGAATTTCTCGGTCACATCGTATGAGTAACAGGTGATGAAACCTGAGTTCCATTTATGAATGCTGAAACCAAAGAGCTGTCAAAGCAATGGATACCCACACATTCACCAAAGAAGCCAAAAAGTTTAAACATGTTGTCTGCCTGCCAGAAAGCTGATGGAAACCGTTTTCTGGGACAGGAAAGGAGTGCTAACGGTGGAATTCATAAAACAAGGGACCACAATAATGTCAGAAGTGAACAGTGAAACACTAAGAAAACTGTGTAGGGCCATTTAGAAAAAAAGGCATGGAATGCTGACATCTGGTGTAATGTTCCTGTATGACAATGTGCATCTGCATACAGCTGCTTGCTCTCGAGCACTGCTGAAGCATTTCAACTGGGAGCTGTTTGACCACTCTCCTTAGAGCCCCGATCTCGCTCTGAGCATCTTACCACCTATCTACCTACCTGAAGAACTGGTTGAAATCACAGTGCTTCAACAGTGATGAGGAGTTGACAGAGGTGTCAAAATATGGCTGAGCTAACAAGTGGCAGAATTCTTTGACACAGGCATCCAAAAACTTATTCCCCAACACAAGTACCTCAATTCCACCAGTGACTACATTGAGAAGTAGCCTAAGTATGTACATATTTTTTGTATATAATAAAACTATTTTTCTCATTGCTTGTTTTGTTAACAGGTCACCAGACGTTACATTCTGAATAGCCCTCGTATATAAAACGTGCTCTGTGAGTGAGGTTAGCAATTCATCATTCATAAATATCCTGTCATTTCTTTATGATAATATATAGCCTCTACAGTGAAAGGACAGTCTTGAAAGATTTCACTCTGAGCAAATAAAGAAATTTAAGCAGTGCACTGAAAGGCTTACAACATTCTAATCCTAGATTATCCCTCTGTATCTTAAACTGAAACAAATATAATACAAAGAACTATGCAAGGTCAAGAGAACAAGAAAGCTTTTACACAAATCATAACTTCCAACCAGTCCTTTAAAAAATAAGATATTCCATGATAAAACTTTCACAGGTGACCAGTCTATTATGATTCTCTGATGATAAAGACACAAAAGGTCTCAACCGTTGGACTTCAACCCCAAATTGACATGGCTGGCTACCCAAGAAGTTTTTATCACTTTCAGTCACCATAAAAGCTCCAAGTCTTTTACAGTACTCCATATTTACTACTGTATAAAAATAAAAAAGAACAAAACAAAAAAAATTTGCTGAAAAAATACAGGATATAGCACCAAAACAAAAATAAGGATGTGTGTCTAATTGTAAATATTATTTCAGGACTTGAAATTTATGTATAATCCACTGGAAATAAAGCAATACTCACCGCATGTACGTCTTTATTCTTTGCTCTCGCTTTCTCCAGATTCCTATTAGCATTTTCATAATTAGCCAGACAGCGTAACCTTCGATACAACAGCCTCTTAGCAGCAAAAGAGTCTCTCATGTAATACCTAAGTGTATCAGAGAGCTTCAAGTCCTCATCTGAAGCTACACGTCCTTCAATTTTCTGAAATTTCAAACATAAATTTAAATATCACCTCTATTATAAGCAATATCCTAAGTTCTACAGACAGATAAATTATTATATAAAACTAACTGCTACAGCTAATTCTCCAGTCATGGTCTCCTCATTATCACCTAAAAGAACTTACTTACTTACTTACTTACATACTTATGGAGCTGAGCCCTTCTTGAGGAGAAGGCAAATCTGCAGCTACTTAAGAATTTCCCAGCATTTTATGGAACTCGAAGGTTCATTAACGTGTTCACAAGAGCCCTCCACTGGGCCCTTTCCTGGGCCAGATTAATCCAATCCATGCCATCCCATCCTATCTCTCTAAGATCCATTTTAATATTGTCCACCCATCTAAGCCTTGGTCTTCTCAGTGGTCTCTTTCCTTCTGGCTTTCCCACCAATATCCCATATGCATTCCTCTTCTCCCCCATTCGTGCTACATGCCCTGCCCACCTCATCCTCCTTGACTTGATCATTTTAATTATACTTAGAGAAGAGTATAAGTTATGAAGCTCCTCATTATGCAGTTTTCTCCAACCTCCTGTCACTTCATCCCTCTGCGGTCCAAATATTCTCCTCAACATCAGAGACCAAGTTCCACACCCATACAGAACCACAGGCAAAATTATAGTTTTGTACATTCCAATTTTTATGTTCTTGGACAGTAGATGAGAAGACAAAAGGTTCTGGACTGAATGGTAGCAAGCACCTAAAAGGACACCTACAGAAACTGGGCTTAGGTGATAGTTCCACTTGTAGTATGTGTCAGAACTCTAATGAAACAGTCCTGTACATTGTACTATTGTAAATCTCTGTGGGGCTCAAGTCCCATTATTTTTTAGTTCGCCTGTTGTACCCTACTGACTGTCACAAGGTACCAAACAGTAAACTTTTATAGGTTTATCCGTGGTGCAGGGCTATTGATGGAATGGATGTTGGGAATCATAACAGATTATGCATGGTGAAAGGAAGTAGGTCATATTCTAGTGCCTTATAAATCTTCCTGACTTCTACCTGAGTCAGAAATAGTGAAAGAGCACATTTCTGAAGTGGGTAAATCTATGAGGCAAACTTGGCTATCTCTAGTGGTATACACAGTGTGTCCAGGATCCGTTATGACTCATTTTTTTTTAATTTTGCCCTGCAATGCCATCTGTTGCCGAATTGTAGCGTTAACACATTAAGGACTGGCGATTTAAATATTTAAATCACCCTGGGGCCACCATTATTAAACCTACTATCCTAACTTGTGCACTGTTCACTTTAAAAATTAATATAAAATCTCCTAATTAATTTTATGAACTAAAATTTTTGGAGAACACTTACCAATGCTCCTAGAAGGGCTTGAGGGTGTGATATTTCTGGACCACTCCTCTTTGTAAAGTGACATTACACAGAACTTGAAAATGTAGACAGTCATAGTCCCTTTTTTGTGAACTGTGCAAACACGGCATTGCCTAGAAGGATGCTTCCCCTTGGAATGTTCACTCTTCACAATTTTCATGAGGGCATGTTTCTGCATATCATCCGAGAGTCACCCTGGGGGGGGTCCACATGAGGCCTGCGTGGGGTGGGAGTTGATGGGCCCGGTTGCACTAAGTCTGTGCCTGACTCTTGTTCTGCCGCCACCATCTGGTCTGTAGCCCAGGCCTTTGCCACATTCATCAGAAATGCTTTATATTTCAATTTCGAATTAGGGATTAGATTTTTGTGATTTTTTTAGATTCTTTACTGTCCCCGCAATGTTATTACCCACATTATCATCGGAGCTACTGTCACTTTTACTGTCTGTGGCCACAATTCTTTGTTCTCCCCTGTCACTGCCACTCTCTGAATCACCATGACTATGCGTCTCACAAGGTAGGTCAGCTAGCTCATCGGAGAAGAATCTGTCCTTGAACCATACTCCACCACTAACTACTGGCTGATACATACAGCTTGAAGAGCAGCAAAGCATTTTCCTTTAGAGTGGGTTAAGAAAACAGCGAGGTCAAGTTACTGACAAGTAAGCAAACATTCCAGAGTTTTATTACGCAGCTGCGTGCAACCTGGGTGGCGCCAGAGCAAGGTATAGTGTGTAACAACCTAATGTGTCCTAAAATCATGATATCATGGGACTGGTCCTCAAACTGTTAAAATTCTTGAAGTTTCAGCTGTGGCTGTCTATAATTTCAAAGTGCAAGCATCGCCTCATCATGTGTTCTGACCTTGAATGTAACAGTACTGTTCTGACACTTGTCGGAAAATGGCGGTTGAACAGAGAGCCAACATCAAATTTTCTTTGAAGTTGGGCAAAACAGCTGGAGAAGAGTACGAAATGATGAAAAGTGTACAGCAGTGACTGTTTGAGTCGCTTGAACATTTGTTGATGGTATGCTGTATTTCGTGATGGCAGGGAGGATACTGAAGATGCTCCATGTCCATCAAAGCCGAGAACAAGTCGCACTGAAGAAAATGTGAAAAAAGTGACCGAAATCCTTGCAGCAGACACATGTGTTTCTGCAAGACTCAACGAGAAGCTTTTGGGGATATCAAAAAGTACTGCGCATCAAATTTTGACCGAGGATTTGGGCAAACGGAAGGTCTGTGTGCGCTTTGTACTGCACACGCTGTCTGGGAATGAAAAACATGGCAGAGTTGAAAACTACAAAAGACATGTTATGGTCGGCCCAAAGTGCTACAAAACTTACAAAATCGATTGTTACTGGTGACGAGACATGGTGTTTTCAATATGAGCCTCTCACAAAGCGGCAGAGTGCAGTGTGGTTGAGACCAAAGAAGCCAAAACCAAAGAAAGTGCACATGCAAAAGATTCGAGTGAAGACACTTCTAACCGTTTTCTTCGATTTCAAAGGAATCATTCACAAGGAATTTCTGCCAGAAGGTCAAACAGTGAATTCTGATTATTATCTCGGAATCCTCAATCGTTTGTGGGCAAGAATTCTTCAAATTCGACCTGAATATCGAGAGCAAGGTTCCTGGTCGCTCCTCCATGACAATGCCCCACCCCTCAAATCGAAGATCGGGAGCGATTTTTGGCCAGAAAAGGGATCACAGCCCTTGATCATCCTCCATATTCACCAGATTTGGCTGCAGCAGATTTCTGGTTGTTCCAGAAAGTTAAGTTGACAATGAAAGAGACTGTCATAACACCATCGAGGACATCCAAAGGGAATGTACCACAGTTTTAAATGCGATTCCACAAAAAGAGCACAGTGACTGTTTTCGAAAACTTTTCAATCGATTCCAGCTATGTATTGATTCAGAAGGAGACTATTTTGAATAAAAAGATTGAAATTTTGAAAATAATTCATGTCTTGTATTTTTAATGAACACAGTCCTAACAGAACCTGGACACACCGTGTATAGGGAATTGAATCTAGATTCCTCACATTCATGAAACTTCACCTTTACCAGATATGAGGAAAATGAATGCCATGCAGAAATACCTTAATAATAACGGTATGGTTTAAGCTAACATAAATAGCTCAACAAATTGAAGCCAAGGGCATCAAATACACTGAGTATATCATGATTGCTACCGTTCTTCTTCTATCTGTTATGAGAAGAATTAGTATACAGTAAAACTTGGTTATAGCAACATCGGTTTCTGCGACACCTTGTCTATTGCGTCAAATATTCAATGGTACGAACTAATTCCTCATAAAGCAACTGTTTTTATACCTTGCTTAGTACGACATGCACAAATGCATCAACCTCGTATGTAACGTCATTTTCATTCCTGAATTTCTCTGATATCGTGGGAAAGTTCGATGTGTCTGCCCACCCTCACTTTCTCTACTTGCTGACGTGACTGTCCTGGAAGAATACGACCGCGATCTGCAAGAGGACCGTGGGTTTTATGCGAAAACAAGGGTGTGGGGTGGGACTGCGTGAATAGTGCAAGAGGAAGCGGCAGGTTGTTAACTGCATTCCTTTCCTAGAATCTCGTCTAACAGGACCTCACATTGTCTACTTACCCTATAGTGTTCCTGCCTAAACCCAGAGAAGTGCAGTAGCGAAAACATGGCAATGAAAAGGAAAGTTTTAAGCATTGAAGAGAAAGTTAAAGTGATTCGTGAAATATTGTGTGTATTGTCAGTGAAAAGCGCTGTAATATGTCTTTGATATTACACATTTGGGCAATTCCACGTTAATGTTACGTTAGTCTGTACTTAACTACGTATTTCACTAAAAAATGCAACATTTTAACTCGGTTTTTGGTAGATTTTTACGTGACTAACATAAGGCTACTGTGGAAGTGCCCATTTCGGTTACAACGACACTATTTTTAGGTCCCTTTGATGACATTATAACCAAGTTCTACTGTATAATCACATTACCATCACCTACAGCCACAATATTATACTAATATCTATCATGTAATAACCAAACTACACGATTTACAGGTTTACGAAAAACAGTTACAGTAGATTATTTTGAATCTTTCTTATATCTCATTAGCCAAGCAGCAACAACACCAATTGCAATGGTGACAGCAATAACAAGCATTTCCTGAAAAACAAACAAACACGCTCCATGGTTTCAGTCCGCAAATGAACTATACTGACCGAGCGACCGTACGTTTTCAGTGAAGTTAGTGCCAACTTTAGCGGATAGAGGGTGTCACGTGGTCAGCGCAACAAATCCCCATGGCCGTTAATTTCGGTTTTCTAGACCAGAGCCGCTATTTCCTTGAAATAGCTTCTCAATTATCATAATGAGGTTCAGTGGACCCCGTTCCAGACCCACTACTTCTCAGAAAAAATCTTGTAGCGCCGGGAATCGAACCCAGACCTATGGATCTGTAGCCAGGAACTCTGACCACTAGACCACAGAGCTGAAACAGCTCTAAATTAAATTAAATTTTCATCTGATAGGTGCTGATATCTCTTTTTTTTTACTATGTCAATACCTGTACAGACCAGCAAGTAAATCAGTTCATGCCTTAGCATTTGTAACACGTGGTTCATGCGTGAGATTGATTTCTATCTGAATGTGTTAATTAATTTTGCTTTAAACTTCAGTTTACTTTTTACTGTCATCGATTAAATGTGTTACTAGGCATTCATATAAAAAGCATATCTAGTAAAATTAATTTTGATCTGTATCAGAAAAATATAAACCCAACCTTAAATGAAGCGTAAATCACGTTTCATCACTGTTTTTCTTTAATGGCCCATCGTACCTAGATTTGATACTTAACATAAACGGAAGTGTCATTAAGATTAACCATCTTTATTTGAAACATTCATCATATGGTGACTACTTGACAAACTACAGGGAAAAATAATTAAGATTTCATGCAATGTGATTCGTTTGTATCTGCAATAAATACATATAGGGTGATTCATGAAGTTTTACCCCAGCTTATGGAACATATTCCTGGGGTTATTTCCTGCAAAATTTCCTTATAAACTTGTGGTCGATTTTCAATAGTTATGGAGTAACGATAGATTTTCGAAACACATCATTGTGAATGCAGTGCTATGCTTCCCTCCTGGGCGACCTTGCATTCCAGTCAGCTGTGTCAGCACATAAGGCAGGCCGGCTAGCGATTCTAGGCAGAGAAATCCAGTAGTAAACAGGACGTTGTGTTGGTGACTTTGTGAAGTTAAGATGCTGTACACATTTTCCACTGAGGAATACACCGATATGGTGTTTGTTTTGGGTTTATGTGATGGAAATGTGAGAGCCACTTCTGCTGAATATCACCGGCGTTATCCTAATTGCAGGATTCTGAATCCTAAATCCATTAGCAGTATATTCAGCACATTAAGACAAACTGGTTCTCTCCCGAGCGTTCGTATACAATAAGAACGAAATCCTCAACATGAATTGTGCAAAGAAGAAAACATTCTTGATGCTGTAGAGTGCAGTCCGCGTGCCAGTACAAGACGTCTAGCTCGGCGGTTCGGTGTTTCTCAGTCCATGGCGTGGAGGACTCTTCATGAGAACGGGTTGCGTCCTTATCATTTACAGCAAGTACAACACCTACAACCAGGAGACCGTGTTCTTCATCTGCAGTTCTGCAACTGGTTAAATGAAAATTGGCAGTTGTACCACTTGATAATGTTCTGCGATGAGGCACAGTTTACACGGGACGGGGTCAACAACAGTCACAACTTACATGTTTTGGCAGACAATAATCCCCGAGCCACGATAGAATCGAATTTTCAACACCGATTCAGTGTCAATGTCTAGTGTGGTGTTCTGTATGATCAGCTAATCGGGCCGTTCATTTTTCCTGGTCGCTTAACTGGTGAAATTTACCTCCACTTCTTAGAAGAATTACCACAGTTACTTGAAGATGTTCCTCTGGCAACAAGAAGCTGGATGTACGTTCAGCATGACGGGGCACCTCCTCACTTCTGCTGCGCAGTAGCAGCTCACTTGGATCGGCATTCCACACAGCGGTGGATTGGTCACGGAGGCCGTAACGCCTTGCCCCCCAGGTTGCCAGATCTAACGCCATTAGATTATTGCATTTGGGACTGGATGAAGGACATTGTGTACCAGGTAAAGGTACAAACATGTGAAGCATTGCTTGAACATATTCTGGACGCGGCGATGACAATACGGAACAAATGTGTGGGACTGCGAAATGCTATGAGCGCGGTTCGTACGTGTGCAACGCGTTGTGTTGACATGCAGGGAGGCATTTTTGAAAATCTTATGTAAAGCCAGTCATCTTCTAAAGCACTATAGTTTACAGGAAACAAACTGATAGAAGGGTGTGATATTCAACCATTGGTATATTTACAGAATGGGATGCTGAAAATAATGTAATTTTGTAACATAAAATCGATGAAAAATGTTGCACAATGCAAAATTAAGAATGTTATATTTTAGCGTCCTGTTGCACTGATTCATGTTCATGATGTGTATTTGTACCAACCGTCTTACAGTGCACACAATTTCACCTTTCTCTCCACATGTTTTGGCACTAATGTGCCATCTTCAGCAATACAACGCACGCAGTCACAAGGGAAGGACACAAGAATATAGGAAAAGTACTCCCATAGGAGAGGATTGACGTAACTCACGAATTTGAAGTGCGACGTATAGATAATAAATCTTGAGAAGTTTTAATATATAAATGTTATTATTATACATGACATACTTACAATTTAATCATTTTATAAAGGAGACATGATGGCATACAGTGTAATGGTTTGACGTAAACAAAACCATACCTGAAGATGGCACATTAGTGCCGAAACATGTGGTGAAGAGAAAGGTGAAATTGTGTGCACTCTAAGACGGCTGATACAAATACACATCATGAACGCAAAATTAAGAAACTGAAAAAAATATTTGGTTTTAGAATGCTTCTTTCCTAAAACATTAACGATTAAAATGTGTTTGTATTGTATTTCTAATTTGTTTTGACTGAAATTCAAAGAAAAAAAGATTTTTCGCCAGTTTTCAAATTACTGTATCTCTTTTTAATTATGAGCTGGATACCATTAGAATATTAAAATTTTTTGTATCAAATTACTTCAGGAATGCCATCCCTAAGTGGGGGTAAAACTTCGTGAATCACCCTGTATATGAGATGATAAGCAAAAGCATAGAGAATACAAGTAGATTCTAAAGGGTTCTGATGATGGTGTATAACACTCAGAATTACTGGGTTTTCAGACTTAGTCCATCATCTGGTATTCTATAAACTAGAAAATACAATGTTTTAGAAAATAGATCTGTTTCCTTTGTCTGGTGAATGGGGAGACACTTACTGTGTAGGGTCCAGTGACTGAGGTTAGCTCTTTCTAAGGGACCTAACACAGTAGGTGTCTTCCCCCCCTCCTCATCTTAGCATGGAAACAGATCCACTTTCCAAAGCATTGCATTTTCTAGTTTTCAGAATTCCAAACAATGGACAAAGTATAAAAACCCAGTAAAATGGAATACATTTGAAAAATATACACAGTCAAACTGGATCACAGCTTTCCAACCAAGTTTTTATAACAGCAGAATCAAACGTCTAGTCCCTCCTTCCTCACCTTAGCATGGAAACAGTTCCAGTTTCCAAAACATTGCATTTTCTAGTTTTCAGAATACCAAACAATGGACAAAGTCTGAAAACCCAGTAAAATGGAATACATTTGAAAAATATACACAGTCAAACTGGATCACAGCTTTCCAACCAAGTTTTTATAACAGCAGAATCAAACGTCAGGTGCAAAAACTTACACGAGCTTTTTCAAATGTTTCTGCTACCTTTGTCAAGAACTTCTCAAGGTCACTGTTATCTATTGTTGAAAGTTGAACAAGGCCAGTTGATATTTTAATGTATGAATCTGCAACATCTGCAATTAAAGGATTAAATGATGATGTGTCAACTGCTAAAGTTATGTGATGTCAAAGTTCTGAATGTAAAAGTTGTCTCTGTACCTAACATCCCACCATGAAAACAAATGAATTGCACTGAGGCTAAAGGTCCATTATACAGAGATGAGCAGCCAACTTCATGCTCATAATGATTTATACCTATTGAGTCCCCACTGAATACTGAGCGGGGAGGGCCCAGGTGCTGTTCTGAATACAGCAGTAAAGAGAAAAATCCCTGCCCCTGCTTGGAATCAAACCTTGACTGTTCAGCCCAAAGCTACTCTATTCAGTGACTGAGCTACTCCAGCTCCAAATGTAATGTCACTACAAAATACACATTTCCATAACTTTACAGGAAGTTGACATATCCAAAAGTAGGTACCTTTATGACGCTTCGTCATCCTATCTGCTTTCGCTGTAGCATCTTTGAGATGTGTATGGTAATCAATTAGAAAATTTTTCTCCTTTTCAAAAAAATCATTGACATCTTTGACAGTAGCTGAAAGTAGAAATTCATCTGTGGTCTTAGTAAAAGATTTCATAAATCCTCCAAGAACTTCCATCTTGTTTTTTCCTCTCACACACAAATCTTGGTCATATTCTAGGAAGACCCGAAAGTTATGGTCATTTCGGAACACAGGATGGTTTGCTAGTCGACAAAGAAACACTTCGTGCATTGCAACAGTTTTCTTGAAGGTTGCCAAATATTCTCTGAAAGGTAAACATAATTGGTATTACCCTGGTATGAAATATTATATATTAATGTAAACTGAAGCATCTTATTGCTCTATCCTGATTCTTACCCTTCTCCTTGCTCTTTGCAAATGTCTCCCAAGTGGTCTCTTCCTTTCAGGTTCCCTTATGATCTCAACTGTATTCTATACACTCTGCGCATCATCTCCTCCACCATTTGATTACCCTACATTTGGTGAAGCATTCAAATTTAGAAAATCCTCACTCTGTAACATTCTCCACCCCCATTACTTCCCCTCTCATAGGTACAAACTCCCCTCAGCACCCATTCTAAAACACCCTCAATATATGATCTTTCATCCCTTAAGGCAAGAGACCAAGAGTTTCATCTACACAGAACTAATTATATTTGCATGGTTAGAGCCACATCACGATTGCCTCATCAGGGTGATTTTGGTTCCAGCTTTACAGTCAGGGGTCTTTGGAGGGCCCTAGTAAGATGAGACACACATAGTAGACCCAGCAGTTATTTTAGTGCTTGTTGTGACAAACAGTTGTTCCCCCTATGTCAATACCAGTACCAAGCAGCGTAAAATATATTAAATTTAACCAATGCGGCCTGCTAGTGACTGTTGTTTGACTGGTCAAGAAATTCCCTGACCTAATGGAGACTAGAGGTCCATTACCATGTTTACAGAAGTCCACCACTGGACATCATCCAAAGTCGGTCAAATGTAGTCCACATTTTCATACCATATCTCTCTAAGGTCTACTTTAATATTATCCCCTCACAAACTAAATGTAAACATGCCATAAATGAAACTCACGCCTCCAATTCTTGCTTCATCTTATTGAACTCTTCCTTGGTCATTGTTCCCTCCCCTTCTCCCAATTTCTGCAGTTTCTCGCGAGATGCATCAAAGTCTGGACGTGGAGGAGCTGGAGGAATCTGAATAGCAGTAACAATAGCATAACAATTATGGCAACATAACAAACACAACATACCTGACTGAAATAGTAACACCATTATACAACCTGTGAACAAAATTTTCAGAAAAATTAAAGCGAAAGCAAATACTGAAGAATATGCGGCATGAACATTTTTCTTTACATTCTTTATAACTCTTTCTTAAATGTGCAGGTGTCAAATGGGAGGATGACTATAAAAGATGAATCTGAAAAGCATGTAGAAGGAAGCAGTCATGACCTTTCTGATGGTGTAACTCCAATATTTGGTGAAGGAATTACAGAAAATCACAAAATGACCTGTTAGAATAGCCAAGGAGTCCAGGATGTCCTGAATATGAAGCATGTGCGCTAATCAGTGCAGAGTAACATTTGGTTGGCATCTAAATGAACTGCACAGTCAATTAAATCAGCCATAAGACATTCAGAAACTAGTAATTCTACACACCAGACACAAAGGCTATCTGTATCATCCAGCATCATAAGAACTGTAAAAATCAAGATGCCTTCTGGGATATGACCCTATACAGTTTGGTATATAGGTACAGACATATTGTAGGAACCTCCAAAATGTTGGTACCTGTCAGCATCACAGACAATCTTGACACATATTATATTTGAGCATCCAGTTGCATTGATGTATCACTCACTCACCTCCACTTTTAATGCAATTTAAATATGCTCACAATCCCTCTTTAATTTAAAATTACAATAAAATCACATCAACTGCTACACGTTTCAGTCCTACTTGGCCATCTTCAGACAACTGTTCACTGTTTGAAAACCATCGCATTGCACTAGATCTTAAGCCAACATATTTCCATGCTACTACATTATTGTTGTTCACACTGAAATATGTTTGTTTGAGAAAAAACTCTCTCTCCTGTCCGTGTTATTTTCCTTTTGGGGGACATACACCCAACTGGTGAGAACATACAGAAGGAGGTGGCACAAACCTCAAAAGCATAAGAATGTGGAATGGAGATAGAGCTTTGCTCTCCAACATATTTTAGTGTGAACAACGACAATGTAGTAGCATGGAAATATATTGACTTAAGATCTAGTGAGTGCAACAGTTTTCAAAAACTGAATAGTTGACTGAAGATTGCCAAGTAAGGCCGAAACATGTAGCAATTGGTATCATTTTAATGTTATTTTAAATTAAAGAGATTGTGAACATTTTTTGGTTGCATTAAAAACAGAGGTGAATGAGTGATTGATACTCACCGCCGCGAGAGCTTCAGATCACATACGCAACGATTACCTGCTTGGGAAACTTGCCATCAAGTCTATAAAAAATACTACCACAAACAAATGTGAGAATTATTACTATCATAACAAAAAACTGACCAGCTTCATCTAATGGTACTGCTCTAGACTTGTAGCCAGGAGGTGCTCGATTTGAATCTCAAGTAGAGCAGCAGGTTTATCGTCAATTTCCTCAATCCCACCAATCAACTGTTGGAATGGTACCACCATTAAACTATGATCACTTCCTTCCAAATCCTTTCCCATTCATCATTCACTATCAAACTATTATTCAAGCTATTAGTCTGCAAAGTTGACAGCATCATTAAGTAAACTACAAACAACAATAAAAGACTTAAGATTTACTCTTCACCGTTTTTCACACATGTACATTAGACAAGATAAATTAACTGTACTTACAATATAGCCAGCATATTCTTCAATTTCTTCAAATCTGTCATGAAGCCATACAAATTCTTCATGCTGACGAACTACAAGGAACTCTGGTTTATGAAATTCTGGTAGAGTTGTCTGGAAAAAAAAATGACTAAACAGTGTGTCATCAGTCACAGGAAACAGTCAAATGTTACTTACAATCATTCATCTACTGAACTAGATTAAAAGAGTCAAGAAAATGTTTCTAGTCTTGAAGTCCAGAACAAGAAAGTGATGTATTGGGTAGATATTTTAAATTATAAGATGAGCTTTCTGGGCAAAAATATCTTTCAATATGTGAGATTTGAGTTTCTCACAGTGGTGACTAACAAGATTATGTTCTTCTGTGATGTAACAGAAGTGTAGGTTGGTAAAAAGGCATCGACAATTAGGAGGAACCTCTTCTACCTTGAAGGTGGAGGCACCAGGAGCTTCTGAAATGTTGGTACCTAACTACGAAACTACAAGACACCACAGCACAGAAGGCCATAATCTTTAACTTCATTACATTCAAATCCCTCACCAGAAAATTATTACATAACCATCTTACCTTGGTATGTACTGTGAACTTCACTTTATCTTTTTCACTAAGTGCATCTGATATGTCAACCATTAATGAATTATCAGTCAAATCCACGGTCTCTGACCTTCCAGGCTACAAATATGAAATACATAATAATTATAATGACAGTGATTGTAAAACGATCCTAAATAAAAATAAATGATGTGGAGTTTAATATAGTGAAACCCTCACTTCAGGTTTGTTTGGCGAATAGTGAATATAAAATCTAAAGTGAGCCCCAACCTTCCCCCAAAATTTGCATGAGAATACATAAAAGAAGAGAATAATATTTAGTTTTTCAAATACACCATCTCATTTTTTTTCTAGATTTACCTTTACCCTCACAACCATTGTTGGGCAAGACACATTCTTAACCTTGGCACTAGGTAAAGAAGAGTGGTCAATTTCATATCAAAGGAAAAGAGGCCATAGAAAACATTTGATTGGGGAGTGATGGTGACTGCAGTGTGGAGTGTCTGTGCGAGTATGCACTCTTGTTTTGCACTGAGATGATGTTAAGACTGATGTGTTTTTCTGTGGTTTTTATGGATGGTTATTCCTTGCCCCCTAAATTAAATGATTAACCAGGGCAACAGGATGCTGATATATAATATTATTTATTTCAGTTGAGCTTCCTGACTAATGCAAAGTTTTCTGCACTGAAGGCACCCACAAAATACTAGACACCTACTCCATCAGAACTCATTAAAAGTTCTGTGAGACTTGAGGTTTTCTTAATGGTGGTGTGATCATGAAGTCTGCTGCCTCCTAGAATGTGACACCATGTTATTTGGCAGATGTCACAGATGTTTCCGAGGAATGTGCTGCTTCCAATTTTCAGGGAAGAGTTTCCCTGCACAGTTTACTCTTCTTCCTTGAAGATTGGGCACCAAATTCCTCCAGAACATCATTAATCATCTACCAGACTATACAGCATCATATTGCAGACCATAATCCATAATGCTAAGTTTTGTTGTTTATGAGTGGTGAATAAGTTGATGGACCCATGAAACAGATGACCTGAAACACAAGAGTGATGTGCAATCAAAGTATATTAATCTAATGTAATAAGTACATATTGCATAAGTAAAGTTATCCCTGTACCCTGCTATGTCATTAAGCACTATGACATGAAGGCATATCTCCACAATTCTTGACCTTGGCACTGGATGGAGGCAAGTGGTTAGCTTCATGCCCTTCATATACTTGGTACTCACTGGACAGGAAGCTGGGTGGGCCAGTATGGATATGATGGAGAACATTCTCTTACTCCAGTTAGAAACTGAACCCCAAATGTCCAGCCCATAACCTAGTTACTATGCGAATTGAGACAACTGATAGATAATGAAGATACAATATTGCTCTTTAAATGAATTATTAAATGTTCATTAATGCGGTTAATGTAAATGGAAGAGACCAGTTAGAAAACATTACCTATATCTGCAGAGATGTAAGACAATGTTAGAATGGATCTTACAGCAAAAGGGTGGGAAGATGTGGAATGGATTAATTTGGTTCAGACAGTGTCTGCAGGCAGCCTCTTGTGTTATTTTAGTTGTGTGACTTATGTAATCTATTACATGTATACATCTATAATCAAATGGACTATTTCCACATCCTAGGATTTTTGCCTGTATGGATATATGGAAAATAAAGGAAATGAATGAATGAATGAACACAATAATGAACCATCACATTCCATAAAACATAGGGAATGTCATGAGCATATGAATGATTTTCAATTTCTAATGGAGGAGGGTTGTGCTCCACAGAGTTCATTAGTTGAAGGGGTGAGCCATATTAGACCTTGCACTGCAATTGGCTCTGATCAGTTGCGCATCCCCCTATCTGAATTTGACATCCAGCAGACTCATGCTTCAGCTGAAGTGCCGTACTTGCTTGATGGGCCATGCAGATAGTAACTTAGCTTTGTGAAGTGTAGTTCCAAGTAACTCTTTTAAGTCAACTAGAACCTCAAGGTCACAGAGGAAACCTGAGTTTCTCTCTTAGTTAGAGGAAGTGCCTAAAAACAACTGATGAAGAAACTATCAATTTCCCCAAGAACCTGTATCAGCTGCTCAACAAATCAAGCATAAATATCAAACTGAAACACAAAAAAGAGGAGAAAAATGTCTGCCTTATTAATATAATAATTTCAATGCAGATTAAATACAAAATATACTTTCTTGAACTTATAGTTGAAATAAATTATTAATACAATAGAAGAAACTGTCTTCTGGTACAACACTTTCGAATTTTTTAAACATTTATCCTGTCAACATGCATCTTTCATGACCATAGTCTGTAATACAAACACACACACACAAGGGTTCATCATTGACAGTTTTATTCAGCATGAATTATTTGTTTTCATAAGTCTGAATACTTATTACGATTTATAAGGATATAAATACTTATAGCCGTGTACTGATCTGCATCCCCTTTCTGTGGGGCAAAATTCTGTGGGGTGTCATCATGTGTTTGACAAACTGTGACATAACTGTCAAACAGTAATAAATATCTGGTCATGCCAAGACTTACTGACTGACTGACCGTCAGTCACAATGTGACTTTGACTTTGACAATGAATCATAACATGTGTGGAGGCGGGGTCAAATGCCTCCACCGTGACCCTGCGAGTCATAGGAGGCGACAAAAAGGGAGGTCTCAAATCTGAGACAGCAAAATATGGTCGCGAGTCCCAAGGGACTCAGTCTCAAGAAAGACAGTGCTGGCAAGGGCCAGCAGCATATACAAAAGGCAGACCCATCCTCTCATCAGAGAGGGCATCCCTCAAAAACAAGACCATAACTCGCAAACAGTAAAAAATATTTTGTCATGAACCCCAGATGGGGCTCGACACAAAGACTGACTTACTGACTGACTGACAGTCGCAATGTGACTTTGACTTTGACTTAATGAATTCAGTTGTGAGTACTATTAGCCAGCAGGCAATGGCACAAGCACAGAAGCTGAAGAATCTCCATTGCTGAGAGCTGTTGCCAATTAACAACTAGGGAAGACTATAGAAGACTGAAGCTTAGCATGTGCTGTAGAGATCTGCAAAGTGTATAGATCAGTAATAGCACCGTAATTGCTTGTAGTTCCCAGTCATGTACGAGTATATAAGCGGTCAATAAATCCATTAACCAATCCAAACCCCACCTATAGTCACGCATACTAACATGACTATATATATAAAACTCTTGTTATGTGACTCTATTATACCACTGTAATTAAACAGTTCAGATTCACTGAATCATACCAGTAATTCTCAACATTCTGATAGCCAAAAACTGGATTGAACAAAGAGTTCAAGATGAGACAGATCTGGAAGTGTAAACCTGCCTGTCATTTCATTACTCACACCCAAAGTAGGTTCATCTGCTCAGTTTGGATTTAGAGAAAATAGAAGTACAGAATCTGCAATCTATGCCTTAACTAATCATATATTAGAAACTTTGGAACAACGCTGTCTTTCATTAGGAATATTCTGTGATTTGACAAAGGCATTTGATTGTGTGGTGCATGATATCCTTTTGAGCAAGTTGGCTGTATATGGACTTGGTGGTAAAACTTTAAGATGGTTGAAATCATATTTGGGAAATAGAAGGCAAAGAATGGAATTGTATACTAATGGGAATGAAAAATGTTGTTCAGGATGGGAGATTGTTGAATATGGAGTGCCGCAGGGCTCGATTTTGGGTCCCTTGCTGTTTCTTTTATATATCAATGACCTGTCATCAGCATTAAATACTGATGATAGGTTATTGTTGTATGCAGACGATACAAGCATAGTAGTGTCTGGTATTGATATTGATGAAATCCAAGTAAGGTCTAACTTAGTGTTGAATTCTTTAAGCCGTTGGTTTGCAGTTAATGGCCTGTCTCTAAATCTGAAGAAAACTAAAGTGGTAAAATTTGATACAACTAATCGAGATAATATGTCTATACATTTAAAGTTTAATGATGAGATATTGCATGAGGAAACCCACGTTAAATTCTTGGGCATTGAAATTGATAAGACCCTGAATTGGAAGTCACAGATTGAATCGATGCTGTCCAGATTGGGCAAGGCATGCTTTGCAATAAGAAACATGAAATTGTATAGCAATATTGAAACACTAAAGATGATTTACCATGCATACTTTCATTCAATTATGAGATATGGGATAGTATTTTGGGGAAACTCGTGGGAGGCTAAGAAGATTTTTCTTTTACAAAAAAGGGCCATCAGGATAATGTTGGGAATGAAACCCAGAGAATCATGTAGAACAGTTTTTAAAAAATTAAAAATTTTGACATTGGCTTCTCAATATATTTTATCTTTAATGATACTAATGGTAAACAATCTGGGGCATTATACTTTTAATCATACAATTCATGGTAAATCAACAAGACAAGTTAGAAACCTTCATGTTCCTCAATCGCATCTAACAAAGAGGCAAAAAGGGGTCTATTGTATGAGTGTAAAAGTTTTTAATAGTTTGCCTGATTTTTTAATTGAGTTGGTACATGATAAAAAACAGTTTATTGAGAAACTAAAGGATGTATTGCTTCAAAACCCTTCTTATACTGTTGAGGAATTCTTGCTTTTCTGTCAAGACCTGTCAAGAGGTGTCTGACAGTGTACACTTCATTTAACTCTATGTCCTTGGCTGTGCTTATATATTCTTGCTGCAATTTGTATTGCTTTTTAACTATTGTATGTGTACTTGTTGCAATTTGTATTGCTTTTTAACTATTGTATGTGTATTTGCTGCAATCTGTATTTCCTTTTAACAATTTTATGTGTTTTTTTGACAAGTATGGATTATATATGCTAGTGATTTTGTTTGTGAATGTACAAGTTTCCAATGTCTTGTTGGCTTGTTGACATGTTTTATATTCTGTGCCTGTGCACATTTGTGAATAATCTGAAACGCAAATGTATATGTATGTATGTATGTATGTATCATTCATTTCATCATCTCTAGCTATGCTCTTTATGGCTTAATAACATACCAACTATTATTAAGAAAATCAATTACAAACCACAACAAAACACTGCCTAGTGTACACTGTCAAGACAATTACAGACAACTTCCAATTTCAATTCGATGAATATATTTTAAAAATGAGTGTGTAGTTTCAGCAAACAGTCATGGTAAAATATACTAAAGATCATGTGTATAATCACTCCTGGGTGACAAATTCTTTAGGAGATTGCCACAAAAAAATTAAGGCAGCAATATATCTCATGAAAACACTGGCTGACTTCACTGATGGCACTTGTCTTCAGTCATTATGTATTACCACATAATTATAATCAAGATTACAATTTCTACAAACTTGTCCACGTAATTAACACCGTCAATTTTTAAAAATTACCACAAATCCAAGAATTATTTATCGCGTATTTTCTTACGAAGTTTGCTTACCTTCCTGTTTTCATCACCGAGAATCACTGTGCTATCATCTGGGCCGTCCTGTAAAGATTAAAACAAGGAAAATGAAAACACGGAAATACTGTCTCTCGCCGCTGTCAAGATTCGCGGTTGGCAACCCACGTCCACTTACCATCATAGTTGCTGATTGCAATTAAAGCAACAAATATCACCAACAACTGAAATTTATTTAGAAGCATAAACAACTAATCATTCGTGGCAAACTTCTTTCCCTTAACTTGCTAGCACAACAGGTACCTTTCCTCTATAGCACTACTGACACTACGGTTATCATGACAGACCGCCCCTCACTTACAATCTTCCACCTAAGACGCGAAATGAATGTCACAGTCCGAAACCACGAATGCCAACAATATCGTAAGATAACTATATTCGAAACATATGCCACCAAAGAAATGCTTTCTTATCACAGCGGAAAATAAGTTACATAAAACTAAAATTGTCCCTGTGTTTAATTAAGTACCACGGCAATAAGACGTGTGGCGGAGTAGCGGTATAGATCCAAGCATTCTTAACCTCGTCAGGTTGGACGTGAGTGGTAAGCTTCACGTCCCGGACGCTTTGACCCGGGGAGAAACCCCGTACTCATTGAACAGGAGGCTGGAGCAGTAAAAGAACAAGCGTTCGTTTAAAGCTTCTTTTTTCGTTATTCTGCCCCGAAAAATGCAGTAATTGTACAGTTCTTACATTTAAAATCTTCATTTTTATCAGACAACTTTGCAAAACTACTACAGAATAATTAATTTTTATGAGAGAAGATAGCCACCGAGAAAGGTACTTCACCTGAACTTCTCAAAGTTCCTACCACCTTAATGAAACCGAAGAATAATTACGCGCGACATCGTAAGCTTTGGTTTAGGGACTTTCATGTTTTTAATATTGTTAGGACGGTTAGGACTCATATACTACATCGCCCGATAACGCCTCCTAAAAATCACATGCACTCGGCGAGCGATACGTGTTGTTGACATATAGTCTGCATGTGAGACGAGTAAAGCCGGCACATTGAAAGCAACCAGAACCCTCATGAAATAGAAATTTGGTAACCGCCCTGATGTAACCACGCGACGGTCATGTTAATGACGGTATTTATCAACATATAAATAAATGTTTATAAAAATTCATTTGTACAGTTTCAGCACGTTTTCCATCAGTTGATTTATAAAAAAACAATAGTGTCTTTACTGATTTTCTAACAAATTGATTTTTCGTGATTTTAGTATTTTCCCCCTTAGTACACTGGGGAACAGATTCCTTAACATGTCTTTAATCACGCTCAGGGCTTATTGTACATACATGGCCTATCATTTTCTTAAATTTTGATAATATACTTCACCCAAACCCATAAAAGGGTGAAATTGTTAGGAATGGACAAGACTAATAATTGTGTTTAGTATAATAGACCACTTTAGGTCGTGATGCAAGGGCCAGGAAGGCCCACCCCTAATACATTCATGGTTATGGAATGTGTCCACAACTGCTGTTTGAAAGTTCATTATTGCCATTAATCCTGTACAAAATACTTGATCCACTTACCCTTACCACCATTTGATCATCCCACCATTAATGGGCTGGTTAGTGGCAGAATACTAACCTTGGATTTGGACTGTATTGTTTGAATCACGGCCATGGCATAAACACCCTAAGTAGCGATTATGTCACATTCCCTAGTTGTTCTGGGTAAATGGTGCAGTATCCTTTCCTAATCACATTTTACAACTGCAATTAACCCAAACTGTCATGCTTTAACAACAAAACTTTCTGGTAATAAAATCTGATGGTAAGACACCGCTAATACCTAAATTTGCCACTATATTTTATCCTAAGCCAGTTTTACCCATTTATTAAGATTCATCCTAATATTATCCTCCCACCTTCTTAGTGTTCCAACTGGCTACTTCCCCAAGGTCTTCTTCACGACAATTCTGTATACACTTCATATCTGCTCTTTCATGTCTCATACTTCATAACTACATACATATACATATTATATATATATATATTCTGTAATATCTGAATTTACCACATAACCCGGCCAAACATTTTCCTGATACTGTTTTCAAATCCTAGTATATGTAATTTGCTTTAACTGAATTTTTTATATTCTAAATTATTTGTTTCACTTCATTATTCCACTCCACTAGACTTCTGATGCTAATATGATACACGAAATCCTGAATCCAAAAATCAGCATTTTCTGAACTGAAGGCAAGTCTGCTAGTTAATGCAGCCACACATTACTCCCGGCAACCAGTTCTCATATCATCACAAGTTTTGCTGACAGTTTTAAAGCCTGCAAAAGGAACATACACAATATTTCTTTCCCTTGGCACTACAGCCCCAGTGGGCCTAGCCCTACCGCCATGAACTTCTCCATTCACTTCGGTTTTTCCTGATCTGACACATTCGGTAGGACTCCTTGGACAGGTGATCAGCTCGTCGCAAGGCCTCTACCTGTACACAAACACAGAAAAATGGACGCACACAAACTAATCATCCATGCCCTGAGTGGGATTCAAACCCACGATCCCGGTTTCCAAGCAAGCGAAAACAGTACATGCCTTAGACCGCTCAGCTACCATGACTGGCCACATACACAAATACCACTCATAATTTTACCTGCAGGTGTGAAATATGTTTTTTCCTCATAATGCAGGTATAATACAATACAATATTGGGAAACATTTGAAACTATTTAAACAAGAACATGGGAAAGGTTTTCTTTAAGAACTCTCTGCTAGAAGAATTAGGGAACTATTAAAACTGAATCGGAACCAGCTGAGACAAGTGACAGGACACTGTCATATAAAATGATGCCTGGTCAAAATGGGGCTTGCATACAGCTCCATTTGTGAACAGTGTTACAGTAATGATAAAATGGCCTTGCATGTTCTATGTGACTGCAAGGCCATAGTTTAATTAAGATTTCATCACTAGGGTACCTACTTTATGAAACCAAGTAACTACCTTAAGGTCCCATTAAGAAAAGTACTGCATTTCATATGAAGTACAGTGCTGCAAGAGGGATACATTAATTATATATTATGATGATGACCTGTGACACTATATAGTTTGGTAATTATGTACCAGTGCTTTGGAAGGTTCCTACTAACCATCTACCAAAATACTGTACAGGTCTGGCCTCTGAAACTCCACAGGATGAGGTATGGGGAGTTAGAGGTGCCTGAAGGGACACAGCCTATTAGCCAGTGATCCCAACACTACCCTCACACCTTCTTGGTTTCTAGAACTGGAACCTCAACTCTACACAATGTCATATCCCAGAACACTGTAATTTTTATAGTCATTACTGTGGGAATCTCAGATCTTGTACAGCAGATTGATGGTGATAATGCATGAGTCATTAATGCCCATCCCTTTCATTTTTAATCTTAATCTGCCATTATTACCGATAATTCAATGCTGACACTTCTTCATTCTGAACTAGTAAGCATGAAGCAGACATTTCACATTCATGCAACAATGTGACATTGCAATCTATGTTAGGGTCACAGTGAATAAAACTTTATTGTTCACATACTAATGGTAAGCTCCAATGAAGCACACCTTTATATGATGAAAACATTACTTTAAATTAAAATAATAACAAAATTATTTGTATTAACATTACTAATGCATCATCTTTGAAACACATGATGTAACATTTTCAAAGATAATATACTTTTTTGAAAAAGAAATTTATAACAAAACTGCAACATTCTTTTTAATACTAAGAATGCATATATCACAGCATAATTGGTCACTTTTCATACAAGAGTTTTCTGCATTTAGAAACAGCATTCTTACCAACTGAACTTGCAGTACTGTTTTATTGGTATTCTGCATCCTATCATACATAGATGATTAACACTAGATGTGGAAAGAAAAGAGAAGCTTGACACCCCTTTCCTTTTTATAATTTCAGAGAGATGTGCTATTAATAATACTGAACTAACATTCAAAGCCATAGATGTCAAAGTTCTGTAAATAAAATTTAACTTTAACTTGGGGGTACCTATCACATCAGTGCAGAGTAAGTCATCCACAGTCCACTTTACCTTTAGGCCTGTGTAATCCACAAGCAGGACATTACACACACCACAAAGTAGTTATTTGTTCGCTTTCATGGCACCCAATCAGAAGCCTGTTTCATCACACTTCATGCTCTCCAAACAAGTCATAAGTAAGGTAAAGTCGTCTTGGTGCTTAATTAAGAAGCCATGAACACAGGCGGGGGAAGTTAGGTATAGTTACATTCTTTCTTAATCTTGAACACTACATGGAGGTGAGTAGTCAGCTTCATGGCCCAGCTGCTTTTCCTCCAGTACTCACTGGATAGGAGGCCATGTGGGCAACAGATCTGGTCTGGACATGGTTTCAAAATGAAGAGTCTCTGCTCATGTCAGAAGTCAAAGTCTGGTTTTCCAGCCAGTGGCCCAGACACTATAATAGCATAATTATGCCAGGACAAAATCTAAATATCTGCAATTCCGGTTATTACAACAGGTGGGCAGAACCAAGGCTGATGCACCAGACAAAGAGAATTCTTATAAACTGGACCATCTGCTTGGAAATATAAATGAAATGCAGCTACGATGAACGACTAAAAGAACAATTCTTTTAAAAGCATTAAACAACAGTGTAACCATAAAAAAGATATAGCTATCCCTGTAACAGGCCATGGAGGCCCATAGGGTTGTGAGACGCTGAAGCTCCCATATTTTCTAGACAATCAACTAACAGATAGCGGTGAGGTTGTCGGCCTTACATGCCGGCCACCCTTTATCCCCAGGAAGATTTCTGGTACTCATTTTTGTCAGAGGCTGAGTCCACCCCAGGGCCATAGTGCGGCTGGAAGGATTTGGGAACATTGTAACTGTATAAAGCAAGAAGCTTATTTGCAACTTTACAACTTATATAATCATACATATTGGTATGTGTAAGCATATTGCTATTCAATAAAATATTTTGGTTGTTTTACAACCTGAATGTTAGAATTAAAAATATGTTACCTTTCAGAAGTGACTATCCTTTTCAAGTTATAAATGAGCTGCAGTATGTTTCAAATTCTCCCACAAAATACAACAATCTGATATTCAAATCATTTACCCACTTAGAGAAGATAATTTACATTTCTTCAAATAAAATTTTAAAGCACAGCTTACAGTTAAATTCCATCAACGCCTATATTCTGCACATTTTAACACAAAATTACACATATCCAATATTTCTTAATGATGAGTAAATTGTGACACACATCTGCACTGTAATTACAGATGTTATAAAAACAGGTACACCATGTGTATAAATTGTAAAATATTGCCATAATATAAACAGGATGAAATAAATTGCTGTATTATAAACAACCTGATAAAATGTACAGTTTGTCAATTTAACGTTAACTCATTTCTCTCTTACCAAGAAGATTATCCAGGACCCTAAATCAGAGCCTTTTCAGTGGCCACAATGGATCAAGCTGGCTCAATGGATCATCGGGTTTCTCCTGTGTCAGTTCCAGGCTCATTCCTTTAGCTTTAGAAGTAAAATTCTCCTTAGTAAACTTCTTCCGAAGCTTATCTGCCATCATGTCAGTACTGAAACTGAATTGGGTTGGGTCTATTATCAGAACAGAGGGATAGGGACTTGGAGAAGAACTCCGTGACCCAACTTTACTGCTGGCACTGCTTCTTCTACTGCTGATGCTACTCTGCCTACTTCGAGAGGTCTGAATTTGCTTCATTTCTCCGTCATCTTTCGGCTCACTGCTGTTGCTGTTTGCTGCAACTGTGCATGCCAAAAAGAAGGAAAAATTAATCAAAACTCGAAAAGCCACTATAACTATCAAGCATGATGAAAAATCTTATTAAGGGGTTTCCAATTTACAGAATTCTGTATACACCAAACATTTTTTTTATTTACTTATAATGTTAATGTCTACAAAACACAGAACAGGTGATTAGTTACTGTGTATTAATGTTATGATTACTGCTGACATCTGAATGACTAAAATCTGTGCACAATCCTGAGAAATTCTTTAAAAATGAGACTGGAATATTCAAAAACTCTTATGGCAGTCTTTTACTTCAGCTAGAATCTTGTCACACTAAGCTACAAGCCAGAAGGTTGCAGGTTTCATTCTCAATGAGGTCACTGGATTTTTCAATTGAGCTAATCCTTCCAGCTGCACTATGGCCCTGGGGTCAAGTCAGTCTCTAACAGAAATGAGCACCAGGAATCTTCCTGGGGACAAAGCGTGGCTGGTGTGTAAGGCTGACAACCTCACCACCATTTGTGAGCCACCTTTCCAATAAATGCGGAAGCCTCAATGTCTCACAACTCTATGGGTCTCCACAGCCTATTACAGGTATAGCTTTACCCTTTTATCACACAAATTAATATTTTAGAACACAATGTGTATGTTCAAAATAGCTACAGCAATTTCACAGTTCCAAGAAAATCTTAATTTTAATCCTGGAGATTCCTTTCTAGCAGGGCCCCGAATAGCTGAAATCGGTGTATCTGTTCCACACATTCAAGAGAGTCATTTTAAATACCATGGTTTGAGTTCCCCAGAACAGTTATAAAATTTTAGTTTGAGCATGTGCAGTGTCACATGTCTGTAAAGATTAAAGGAACTGAATAATTTAACCCAAATAGTTAAAGACAATGTTTCTACGTTAATTATGCATACAAAAGGAAACTGAAACAGTTTTTATCCTTTTAATTCTTTCATCTGTAAAGTCATATTTGTGCTGAAGTAGAAATATCATCAGATATATGCTCCATAGCTTAAAATCTGATGTTTAAAGAATCTCTCAAAATTACCAAACCAGTCTCTAAGGTATAGTGATAATGGTCTGTACCACATGCTTTAACATTAAGAAATCTCTATATCCCGGCCACAAGGTGTATTTATGGGATGTCATGATTATCAGAATAAACAGCAATTTCTTTCCAAAATAGCATTAATCAAATGGTCTTTGTAATGAAAATGCAATGTGTTTCCTGTGAGGTATGAAATGAATTTTTGTAGTTTGATAAGGTTCACATATTATTTACATGAATTTCACATGCTTCAAAGGGTTAAAATACTATTTTAAAAATTAAACTATACAGTGGATTCATAGCTCACTGCAATTCTTCAGACCCTCCCCCCACACAAGAATAGTCATATGACTGTTAAGATGTGAAAAAACATTTAAATAAGTGGTAACTGATGCAGCTGTTTCACATTTCAGAGGGGGTAAATTAAAGTTTGAATTTCAATTAAAAAAAATGTTTCAATTATCTTTTGCTTCTGTACAAATATAACTGCTCATGTGTAAACTTCAAAATAGTATTTAAGTAACTGGAACTGGTGAAAATAAGAGATTAAGTCCTACAGTCCTGTAATCCTAGCCTTGTAGTAGTCTTGTGGTTTATTTAATGATGCTATCAGCAGCTCAGACTGCACTACTGAAATGATGATTAGTGCATAATGAATTATTAAGACTGTGGAAGGAACCAGTTGTAGTCGAATCTGAGATACTATCCTGGAATTTGCCTGGAAGGACTGAGGAAAACCACGAAAAACTTGATCAGGATATATGGTGGCACCTTCTGAATACAAGTCAGAAGTGTTACTGCTTGAGCTAACCTGCTTGGTGATCTGTACAGCACCAGAAAACTGTAACCAGTTAAATACTGCTTACATCTTCCTCAATCTTCCAGCTTTAAAAGGTTTCCCTAAGATCAGATTTTGTCAGTGGCTTTACCGATCCAAACTCCAATTTCACTAATTCTTACTAATTCTTTGAACATCTGATATAATAATCTGTAGTTAATTTATTTTCAGACTTTCATTTTTTCTAGTTTTGTTAAACTAGAAACATTGTTTTCATTCATTTTTTATCTTTTCATCTAATATTGAGAATCAATAAGAATTTAAAATTTCACCATAGTCCTGCAGCAAGGAATTCAGCAGAATGTAACAGCATAAGGTTAGTATTCAGATGCTCTTCTGTAATTGTAGACCTAATCACAGGCAGCAACAAGATGCAAGACATGCACAAACGATGAAGCAGCATGGAAGACTGAAGCAGAGTTTGAAAGTGTCTAAATTCGATTAAATTTAATGAACAGAACTGAAGTTGCCTCATGTAAGCCTATCTTGTAAGAAGACTGTATTTAACAATTTAGAAAATGTTTAAGTAAATGAATATAATGTCCTTTTATATTAAGAACTTTTTTTAAATATTTAAGGAAACATTCAGTGCTTTTATAAATATGGATAAATGTATAGACCAAATACCTACATGTATGCAATTCAAAGCATCTTGCATGTAACATTAAGTTCAAATATGTGAGAAAAATGGATACAACTTTGTTTAGTACATGAATAATAACTTACACAGTAAAATTCCATTCCAGTACTCATATTCTACGTGCACCTTCATTCGAACATACAGACACACACTATATTAATCAGTAGACTTCTCACAAAAATATGTATAAGAATCTTTTGCTGACTGCACCCTAAAACTTACAGTTACTGTATAAGATTCCTAGAACATTTCCATTTCTTAAAAAGATCTGAAAATAATTTAGGTGATCTATAAAAAATTTTAGCATACAAATGAGAATAAAGAAGGTTGTTTTCTCAATGCTGATTTAAAAAATAAATATGACCATCATTTTAATAAGTGCTGAAAATAGAATGAAAAAGCTGTACAAGCTTTCAAAACAAGGGCAGAAGGAAGAATCTAATGCTTACAAATAGCTAACGATGAATTTCCTTCTAATATGCAACATTAAGCTGTGCAGTGTCTAGCACAAGAATACAATATTTCCCAGGCTAGAGATTTCAGATACCTCATTACTTAACAATTTCTTCTACACAATTTAAATAATTACAGCCATATTATAAAAGAAATAACATTTGCAAATATCTGTTAAACTATTCATGAAAGGGGTATATTATGCTGCACTATGCAGTGCAGGACAATACTAACCTGTTATATTCTAGTACATTAAGTAAGAAAATTACTTATATATTTAATTACAAAAATTTCATAAGCAAATAATAAACTGCACAGAGTAAAACCTTATTAATGTAATGGTAAGTTCAAAATAACAAATTGTTTTCTTTATAATAATGCAATTTCTACAGGTAATAAAATTTTGAAGTATTTTACACAATAAATGACATGTAAGATACACTGTCCACTTGACTGGCCTACTTTTACATAAATTTTAAATTGGTTATACAACATATCTGACAAAAAAAAAATGTAAATGAGGCCAATAAACCAGAGGTTTTAAGTGCATCTTACAAATGAAGAGAAACACGCCTGCACAGACACTTACTGACTGGGAAATGTAGTATATTATTATGCAATAGTGTGAAAGCTACCTAACCCCATTTTCTCGATTCCTGACTGAAGCTGATTAAGATCAGTAGGTGGACCCAGCAGGAAATCTTCTGAAGGGTGTCGTGTATGAGACTTCCCCTGACGGCTCCGTTTGTCATCAAATGTGGAACGGCTTGTCAGGATACCCCCTGGGAGGGAGAGGATCATGTCAAGCAAGTTGGATATTAGTACCACCAGTAAAAATACAAGTCTGGGTAAAGTAACATTACTCAGTTTAAATGTGGGGGCACATATTACATAAATACTTACATATCTGCTCCTCTAAGAACTACACATGCACATTAATCATTTTTCGCTTCCTAGCTAATAGTGTTGCATAACTTCTTCACCTATTAACAAAGACAGCAGCTTCTCAAGAGCTTCTTTTATATAAATTCAACAAATACGTTTCCTCTCTAACCCCCCCCCCAAAAATGTAGTTATTACTTTGCATGTTCTAAACATTTTATCCAACATACATTTTGTGAAAGTGAGATGATACAAACTATATATAAGATAACATATGTACAACGTATTCCTAGATTCGTAGCAGATGTAAAGCATGTAATTTTCATTTAACAGATAAAATTCTGAATTTGATTTGATAGTACGTACATGTTAATGGAAGCGTAAATGTGGCTATCTTAACTTGACAAATTGACTGCCTGGAGAAGAAACTTAAAATTAAATAAGGACTGTTTCTGCTATGAGCAGGTTCACTTTATAATATTGTTATAAAATCTATCAAGTACTGAAATTAGTCCTCATTTAAAATCAGCCATGATAACTTCGTCACAGATGATATGTGTATAGTTGGCCCTTTCTGTGCTACAGAGAAGTTGAAAATGTGAATCACATATCATATTGCATTCTGTTTTAGAAGGTTCATTAAATGGTTCACTACATGGAAGAGATCTGCTAACATGAGTTTTGGATATCAGACAAGATATTCTGAAAAATTAATTTTTGTCTAGAAGCAAAGAGGGAAAATGGTCCAAAATTATCATTCTCAGCTCAAATTCGACTCTGAAATTCCAGCATAAAACTAATGTTGTTGTAGTTTATGCTTTAAAGTTAATTTTCATATAAATGAGTCTGCATATGAAATTAATGCATTAAATACACACTTCCACAACTGCTGTGTGACATCTATGATCTGTATAGTATTTGGTAAGANCCTCAAATCTTACAACTGCATTTTTGCTTACAAGTTACATGCCAATTACGTCAAAATCATCATTCTGAATTCATCCAGATATCCCATCCCAAAATTTCCTCCAAATCTGTTCATTAAAGGTACGTACAGATTACACATGTAGACCTATAAATATAAATAATAACAGATCCTTTCACTCTGTTATGAAATGCACTAAAATGCCCACAAATACATATACGTATGATAAAATGGGCTGATTAATAACAGAACATATCTACAAAAACACCTCATCCTTTGCAAGAGATGCAGCATATTACCACAGTTCTATATCTCAAGATTTAATGCAGAAAATTAAGAATAAGCCAACTTGCAGTTTAAGAAGATTAACTTGTCATTTACTAGCAGAAAGATATATGGTCTAAATGAGGACTGAATAAAAGAAGAGTGAGTCACTAGACTCCGAAGATGTGAATGAAGCAGTACTGTTCAGGTGAGTACTTACTGATGATCAGAGAACAGGTGTTGAGGCCTTGGGCTTAGAAATCTGGCAACTAAACTGTTACTTCCCCTTTTTACCACCCTTGTGACATGCGGCCAATCCACGAAATTATTGACTGTACTAGGTATAACCCAACCAATTCCTTGCCCTACTCATTTCAACCCTGAAGATGGAGGCATCATGTTTCTCTGGAACCTCAGTTATAAGCCTATAATACTGCACAGTGTGATATCTCAGAAGACAGACTCTGAACTATACACTACACTGATATGTGTTTAAGAGACTCGTCTATAGATTATTTAATGAGAATGCAACTGTTATTTGTCATTGAATATGATGAAAAGGTGGTTTGGAAACATACAGGGATTCCTGTCATTTCAAATTCCAAAATATTCTGTTGTGCATGTCATTCCAAAGAATCCATCCAAGACTGAGACCCTGTGTAAAAGTTCATAACATGATAATTTTTTTTATGGTGAAGGGTTGTAGCACCCAGCCCAACCTTCAAGTTTGAGGGCCACCCTTTGTCAGATATTCACAGTTATTTATTCAACATATTCACAGCTGCTTTTCATACTGGTGCCTTTCTCCTCAATCTGTAACCTGAGGGCAGGCTATCAAAGATAATCAAAATGGATTGAAACTGAATGGGACATACCAGCTTTTGTGTGATATTAATTTGTTGGTTTGATGACATCCATCAGATATTAGTAAGGAGGTTCGTCAGAAGTAAATGCAGAGAAAACTGAGTATATGTTTATGTCTCACCACCAGAATAATGGGCAAAATTGTAACATAAAGGTAGCTAATAATCTGGAAATTTGGCAAAGTTGAAATATTTGGGAACATCAGTACCAAATCAAAATGATACTCAAAGGGATATTAAAAGCATACTAAATTCAGCAGATACTTAGTACCATGCAGGCCGTGCCATAGCTCAAGCAGTTAGTCGCTGGCTTCCCACTGCGGCAGCATGGGTTCGATCCCGCGTCTGGTCAGGTGGGATTTGTGGTGGACAAAGTGGTGCTGGGGCAGGTTTTCTCCGAGTACTTCGGTTTCTCCTGCCAATCTTCATTCCACCAACTGCTCCACAATCACCCTCACCAATCATCTGAGGCTGGTACAATAGGCCAGAAGTGGGTGCAGTACAAGAGACTTAGTCCCACCCCACTAGCAACAAAAAAAAAAATAGTACCATGCACCTCAGAGTCTTTTGACTGAAAGTCTTGTAAAGATTTAGAGATAATGTAACACTATAATTTCACCTGCTGCTTTGAACAGGTGTGAAACATGGTCTCTTGGCTTAAGAGAAAATAGATTGAGGGTGTCTGAGATCAGAATGCTGAAAGTAACTGCAAAATATGAACATTTCACTTTAGGTAACTGATACTTTCATAATTTACTCACAAAAAAACAAAACAAAGATCTATGTCGAGCAAGGTAATTCAGCGCCGTGCAACTGAATGAAATGTTACAGTTCACAATTCCGAAAATATTCTGAAAACTGAAGTTCAAAAATATCGCAGAAGAATGTGTGGTATTAAAGGTTTATCCAGACAGACTATACACTCAAATGTTCTGCTGTTTCATAAGTGTGGTGAAGACACTAGGGATTTGGTCATCAAGACTCTACTGAACTGTGACTGATCCATTTGCATATTCAATTCTATTTTACCCTGCATCAATTACAAAGACACAAAACCCTATAAAATTTGTACTCACGTTTCATGAGCAAATCCTGGGCATAGTACAGTACAGCCTGGTATGCAAATTTAAGGTGTTCTCTGTCCCTGAGAGAACCCTTCCTATGCGTGCTCATGCAAGCTGTAGTGGTGACTAAATCCAACAGGCCACGTCCTGCTTGAATTTCACATACGGCAGCAGTCACAAGACAAAAGAGGCCAGTACGTCCCACACCTGATAAGCAATGAACAACCACAGGATGGCAAGCACCTCGTTGCTGTGAGTAAAAGTTTAACGTCTCTGATACAAAACTCAAGAATGGCCCTGGAGATGCTGGGAAGGAACTGGAACAAAGGAAATTCATTACATTAAACATAACAGTGTTTCTCAACTGCCAGGCCATGACCTGGTACTGGGTGCTTGTCTCATAGAAAAAAGGAATTTACCAGGACGCGGTCTGACAAAGGTTGAGAACCACTGACATTTAAGACAAAAGTTTAAAAAAATCTGTATGACACATTTACTTTTGGATTATAATCCATATGTGTCTGTCATTAGTAACTTTCAAACCAACTGACAGATGTTCATGAAACTAGTAAGTCATGAACAATTCACCTCCACCTTGTAATTTAAAATATGTATCTCCAGTGAAAAGAACATGACAACTATACAAATTTATGAAGTGGAGAGACTTCTGTAAGTCAAGCATTTGGTACTTAGTGTCTCAGTGGGATGCTTATGTGACTGAACTAAATAGAGATCTGGTAATCACCCTCAGGCAGGCTTCTACTGAACCTCTGTTACTATCAGATTTATTAAGAACTGAACAAACCTCCTTACCTGCCTGGCCATACAGTAAATTGAAGGTGAACAATGACTCTTGTTGCTCGTGACTCAACTGCACACAGAGACACAATTCTCTCTATCCAATGAGACCGATTATTTGAGCTCTGTAATGTGAGTTTCATTTTTCCCATTGCCAACTCCTGACCTTTCTCTACTGGCCAGTACACCTGACCCTCCAACTATATTGAAGAAAAATCCAAAATACAGAAAAATGTTAATGGAAGGATTTACGAGTAAAATACACTGACTTACAATATAGATCCTTTAACATGAATAAAATAACTTTCTGTGCATTCATTCATGATGAAGCCTGCGTGTTGGTCATTATCTCTGACACATATTACAGGAATTATTCATGGACAATGTGTGCTTGTTGCAAAACAAGTTCACAATAAGCAGGCAGTCAGATGGTGACATACATCAATTCATGGTCACAGTGTTTGTCAGCAGGGGTTGGCTGATTTGTATGAAACTTTACAGCAGAGCAGAAAATATTCTGTAACATATCAGTGAAATGTGACTACTGATTAAGAAATACACAAGATTTGGACTAGAGTTTCATTCGTACAAGCGGCAAGAACAGCCAGATCAAGGAGTCATTAAAGAGGAAAATGGATTTTAGTTCATCTGACAGATGGAGGATAGACCCTCGAGACAGATTGGCCTTGTTAAAACAATGGAGCAGAGATATCACCAAATACAGAGAAATGTCATGTTGACATGGGGCAAGTGGAAAATCCATATAAAATTATGGAAGACATGATTCAAAAGAATATTACAGAACATCAACTTGTGTAGACTGTTTTGGAAGCTAAGACAGAATACTTATGAAGGATACAACTGAGAAGGAAGAATAATCAAGTGGCCATGGGCTACTTTAAAGCATTATCTCAGCATCAGCCTGGAGATAGTGGGTTAAACATCAGCCAGAATTCATAGCTTTCAGGCTGAACAATCTCCCAAATACAAAGTAGCATTGCTATCACCATACCACATATGATATATACAACAAAATTCAGTAAAACATATGGTACTTAAAAACCACCTCTGTGGTCTAGTGGTCAGAGTTCCTGCCTACAGATCCAGAGGTCTGGGCTACCAGCCTCGCGCTACCAGATCTTTTCTGAGAAGTAGCGGGTCTGGAATGGAGTCCACTCAGCCTCATGATGATATTGAGGATCTATTTCAAGGAAATAGCGGCTCCAGTCTAGAAACCCGAAATTAATGGCCATGGGGATTCGTTGTGCTGACCACGTGACACCCTCTATCCACAAAAGTTGGCACTAACTTCACCGACAACAAGCAGTGGTCACTCAGTCGGTATATTTCACTTGCGGACTAATATCACAGAGTTTGTATATGGTACTTAAAGACTATACTACAAGTAAGTCAGAAATTATCCGCACTTTCTCCATAACACATCTTTAGGTTTATCACACTGCCTCCTACGCATGCATTGTCAGAGTTGGTACTACTGTGGTCATGTGATCAAAGTTTTACCTTGATCACTTCATTTTCCTTGATGCTGTGACAGTGTAAACATGGCCGCTCTGCTAGCAGTGTGCACCAATGATTAACAAATAGTGATCCGATTTCTCTGATTGGAAGGTGTGTCAGGGGCTGAAATTCATATGTGGGTTCATCACTATGAGCCAAAATCCAAAAGCCAGAGTACGGCGTGGAAACACCCGGGATTACAAATGAAGATGAAATTCAAGACTCAATCTTTTGTGGGAAAGGTGACGCTAACCGTTTTTTGGGTCTCAAAAAGGCCTATACTGGAAGACTACCTGGAAAAAGGGTGTACGATCAACAGTGCAAGATACAGTGATTTGCTGGCCAACAATCTGAAGCCAGCAATTCGCACCAAACACTGAGGCCTATTGTTGAAGAAAGTGTTGTTGCATGAAAATGAACACTCACACAAGACCGCTGAAACCATTTTGAAACCATTAACCATTCGTGTTTCGAGGTGCCGGAACACCCTGCCTACAGCCCAGATCTCGCCCTTTCCGACTATCATCTCTTTGGACCGCTCAAAGATGTTTTACGAGGTTTTTGACTTTCTATGGACAAAGAAGTGGGGGAAGCGGTGCATAAATGGTTGCGCGACTAACTGAAAACCTTCTTCGTGGAGGGAATACGCAAGCTTTTGGACTGCTGGACCAAGTGCATCGAAAAGGGAGGAGACTATGTAGAAAAATGAAGTACTTGTTCAACCCCTACTTTTGTATATATGGATTGGAAAAACAAGAGTGCAGATAATTTTTGACTTCCCTATAACCTAAAATGAAGTCTGACAAAACTTCCATTTTGTGTGCAACAGCAATGATAACAACTCAAACAAAGATGAGAGCATATAATAGTAAGGAATAAGATTAAACATTTGTAGTTTATTTAAATATGCTTTTAATAGCTCAGATTAAATAGCATGAAGCTACAGGATGACTGGTGAATAATGAATTGGAAAGGATATGGAAGCAGTCATGTGCAAATTTAAGATACTATTATACAATTTGCCCAGCAGGAATAACGAAAATCAAGGATGGTAACACACAGAGACCTGAATCCTGGTACTTCTGAATATGAGGCAGTAGTACCAACTACATGACCATGATAATCTCTGCAAGCCTGTATGGACTGTTATGAGAAGAAGAAGATTAACAAATTATAACATATTAACACATTCAGGTACATCTGGAAATTCGTAAGTCTACCCCTTCATCTGAGGAATTCTGTCAAAGAAAGAATGTTTTACAAAATTATTTCTAAGCAATCCTTCAAATACCAACATTTCAGTGCGAGTCTTTCATGTTGATTAATCTTCATCAGCCACATAGATTATAAAGGGTTCTGACAATGGTGTATAATACTCAGAGTTACTGGGTTTTTGGACTCTGTCCATTGTCCAATATTCTTGAAACTAGAAAACACAACATTTCAGAAACTGGATCTGTTTCCGTCCTCAGCTGAGGAGGGGAGATATCTACTGTGTTGGGTCCCTTAGAAAGAGCTCGTTCTAAGGGACCCAGCAGAGTAGGTGTCTCCCAGCCCTCTGCAGAGGACAGAAACAGACCCAGTTTCTGAAATGTTGTTTTCTAGTTCCTGGACTATCGGAAAATGGACAGAGTCCAAAAACCCAGTAATTCTCAGCTTCATCAGCCATGTGCTATACTAGTTAAATGGCACATGCATTGGTATACCTTGCACTGCTTTTTTTTCAACACCAACACTGTTGCCTTGAAGCAAAAATCTGGCCACCAGCCCTACACTAGACCGTGTGCCACATCAGTAATCAGACCAAGAGTCTAAATCTAAAAATTTTTTGATTACCTCAGAGTCATTGAGAAGACACACTATCACTTCAACTTGCTGTTCCCACACCATTGTCCAAAAATCAGTATAGGTTGATGGCAAAGGTGCCTGTGTGACAATGAATGGAGGTGTCAGGGGTGTCAAGTTTTTCATGTATGAAGCATTGATGTAATCATCCTTCGTGGAAGGCAGTTCAATTCTTGAATGATCATATGGTAAAATATCAGGGAACCGGTTCTTCATTGGGTAGCACCGTGCAACAGAAATGCTACGTTTATGAGCATCTTTCTCCTGGAAGTAAACACAGCACAGTATTAAAACAAGTTTCTTTTTACGACGATATATCTTGCTTTTAAATATAAGATGTGAAACCAGCAGGCATGTCAGGAATAAAAAGAGGGAATATCTGAAAGACAAATTGATGAGCTTGTAATGAACAGTAAGAACAAGAATATTAGAGACCTGTATAGAGGAATAAATGACTTTAAGAGGGGTTACCAGCCCAGCAGTAACTTAGTGAAGGATGAGAATGATGATCTACTTGCAGATTCCCACAACATTTGGAATAGGTGGAAGAACTACTTCTCTCAGTTATTGAATGTACATAGGGTCAGTGCTGTTAGGCAGATAGAAATATATACAGCTGCTTTAATCACCAGTGTTCAACATAACATTCATATAACTGCTAATACAGAAGTTCTAAATACCAAATTTCAATGAAATCCATTTCACTCATTTCAGAGATGAAATGTACAGACAGACAGACAGACAGAACCTCCCCATTATGCAACTATGTCACGCACTTGGCTGCACCATAGCTCAAGCGGTTAGTCTTTGGCTTCCCACTGTGGCGGCCCAGGTTTGATCCCGAGTCTGGTCAAGTGAGATTTGTGGTGGACAAAGTGGCACTGGGACGGGTTTTCTCCAAGTACTTCGGTTTCCTTTGCCAATCTTCATTCCACCAAATTCTCCATCATCATAATCACATGGGGCAGGTACAACAGGCCAATCAGTGGCCGCTGTGCCGAGTGGACCCAGTTGGACTCCACCCCCCACTAAGCAAATTTAAATTTTTAATTAATGTCATGCACTTCATGCAATGAATTCAGAAATGTACCTGCAATTCAAGCAACTCCTTCCATTTCATGTCAAGTGGAGTTGGTCCATTTAACGTCTTTGTTGTCAGTCCATCAACAAACTTCTCATACTTTCCAACTTCTTGAACAAACTGATTCAGGGCATCAGGATCTGTGTATGGATCCTTTCCAAATGCTTTTGGTGTTAATTTTCCTTCTCCTTGGCTTGTGTCATCCTTAGGCAATGTCAGTTTGGATACCAACATCTGCTGACTATTGTCTTTCTCGGTCTGCAAGCCATTTGACTGAGGTAATGTTGCCACTGCAGCATCAGACTCTGAAGCTGACACTTCTGAAGGCAAGTCTGCATTTTCTGTTACAACTACTGGGGCTGGAGTGTTCATACCACTGGAAGTGGAAGTTATCTGTTTAATATTTGAGTTCACTGATTTATCATGGTGCTCATCTTTCTTCCAAACAGCAGCTGTTACGGGTTGCTGAGGCACTAGGGGTGCTTGATTTAGGGAAAAATCAAGTCCTGCTAACAAGTCCACATTTGAAGATGACATGTTTTCATTTTGATTGCCTTTAACAGCTTGAACTGAACTTGAAGACAGAGAATTGCCTCCCTGCTGACTAAATGTGGTAGTTGTACTGTCATTTTGTCCACGGGCTTGCATATATGTCATTGGACTTTGAGGTGTCTGATTCACAACTGTGCTGCTGGTGTAACTGCTCTGTTGAATATGGTGAGGACTCTGTGACGGTGTGCCAACTGCACCATCTACACCATACTGGTATCCATAAGGCAGTGAGTAATATGACGCTTGTGAATACATTGGGGTTTCAAAACCAGAAACTCCTTGGTTGGTATTGTATTGGGCAGCAAATGTATGTCCATCTATTGAGGTCTGAGATGAGCAAGTTTGTGATGTATTGTAACTGCCAGCGTTAGTATAACATGAAGCTCCTGTTGCTGCCATGTATTGGAACTGTGAGGCTGAAGGAGCAGCACTAACACTTGGCTCCACTGGTGCAGTCTGCTGCAAATTATAACCACTGGATGCTGCAGGATAAGAATAAGGCTGTGGAAACTGTTGATACTGCTGCTGTATATTGCCATAATATTGCTGGTTACTTAAAGATACTTCGGAAGTTGATCCACTAGACAAAGGCATAGCTGATGTACTTGCATGATATTCTGAACCATAATATGGTGACATATTAGAAGTAGCAGATGCTGCAGTAGCTGCAGTGATACCAGAAGTACTATTAATACCATATGTAGATTCCTGTGGTTGTTGGTGCCAAATTATTTGATGGGGTTGTATGTTAGCTTGTCCGTGGAAACCGGTCTGTAAATTCTGGGAGCTACCACCATACTGGAAAGTACCATTTGTTGTATCATATGTATAGCCAGGTGGAACATTGGATGTAACTGGCAATTGTGGCTGAGGAATCCCACTGTATGCCTGTGATGGTGTACTGCAGACTGCCGAAGTGGCAGGTGTTTGGTGGACAGATGAAGAGGGAAGGTCTTGCTTTACAGATGGATATGCTCCAACATGATATCCTTGATGGGATGATGAAGACAGATAATATGTCCCACTGTCCTGCACCTTCTGATCAGCATTTAAGTAACTTATATTACTGCCAGATGGGTACACTGGCTGCACTCCTTGATACTGATGAGACACTTCTGTGGTATACGGACCTGTGTGCTGAGCAGATGCTGCTGGATTAATGTATGGTTTAGTATCTGCAGAATACGAACCAGCTGAAGGACCTGCTACCACAATGTTTTCAGTTACATTACTAGGCACTATACCTTGGCCAGATGGAGTATACTGCTGCATATGTGATGTGCTGCCATGACTGTAACCCTGTGTATTCACATTTCCTTGTGTGAATGGAACTTGCTCTTGTTGCTGATGAATGTATGGAGACTGAGTCACTGGGTACGCTGCAGGAGGGTTAGCATAGTTATACTGTGTGGAGTTGTAGTCAGGGTAAGCTGTTGTCAATTGATACCCTCTTGCAGGCTTTAGTCCTGCAGACTGATCCACAGAAACAGTTGGGACTGTGTATGGGTACCCTTGTTGTGGCAATGGAGCTTTATTTTCACCTGGTTCCATTTTTATTGTCGTTGCCTGTTCACTGGTGCCCTCCGAGCCAACTGGGGCAGGCCGAATTGCTGGGACCCACTGCTGACAGCTTGAACTCTCAGCAGAAAGCTGCGAACTTGGTCCTGAATGATCGTAGTAGCTTGATAGTTGTGATGAAGCTATTGGTGCAGGAACCTGGTTGTATGCATTATAATATGCATTAGATGTTTGACCAACTGAGACATTTGGGTGCCCTGTGACATATCCAACACCAGCTGTGCCACTGCGTTTCATACCCTGAAGATAATCCTTCAGTTTTGGTCCCCCTGCGGAAGATGCAGGAGATCCTGCAACTGACCTGTCTGCTTCTGTGACAGTCTGGGAACTGGGGAGTGTCTTATTGTTCTTTGCAAGTATCTGCTCCCTTTCTTCATCCTGTACTTTGCAGGTACCTTTCACACGCTGAAGCAACTTGTTTACGTTTGTTTCCAATTTACGATAAAATTCCAGACCTTTACTTGATTTGGCCAGAAGGTCCTCATAAGCATCATAAGAAGATATAAGAGCGGATATTGTCGCCTCTCGCTTGCGAAGAATTTCATTAGTTGCCTTGCGTGTCCCTGCATAACGCGCATACGCATCAGTTAATGCCTTTAATATATTATCCTGTGCAGCCAAATTCTGTTCAACTAATGCCACCTGAAACAGAAACGAATGAAAGTAACACAAACGTGAACATATGGCTATAATGAACAATGTTACAGAAACATGTTATTCAACTTGCAGTAGTTTGCACTGCTATTTACAGACCTCCGTCCAATGAGATGAGAAGACCATGAGCAAATAAGAATTTGGAAAGAGGTTGCCTCTGTATATCTGAAAGTGCCATACTAGTGCTTGCTTCAGGATTCTGAAGAAAATAATAAAAATCTTAGCCAGGACAGACATAACCTGGCTGATATTCAAACCAAGTATTTCTTGATTAAAAATCTAGAATGATATAACAGTACAAAACTGCTGAGTCATGACATGATATTACATGACTAAAGTCTCTTTAACCCTCCAGCCCATGTCTTCATTATCCACACAAAAATCCTCGAATCCAGTAGGGCAACCTCAACAAAGGATACTTAGAAATTTTTAACTGACATGCGGAATGCAATGCCTAGTCAGCCCCTGAAAGTAATAACTGCTATGAACTGCTACATCTGACATAGTACGACAGTAATAACTGAACTGGTAGGCTTGCGCAGTGATAAGACATATAACTCTGAGGTCAGATGCTTGCACTAAGATAAAACTGACTAACCAAAAATCATAAAAAAAAATATTTAATAATGTCATCTGAAAGCCAATCAAACATTCTAAGCACTTCTTCAGTAAGCAAAAGCATTTTATGCATTCAGTGATTGTATCTTAAACATGATTTGCAACACTTGGTCCACAGGGGCCATAGCATAATCCTGGTCAAAACAGTATATATCTAGACAATATCAGTCATGGTTGAGAGGCTGGCATTCCAGCTCTGTGTCTGAGTGTTCCTGGTTTCAGTTCTCAGCCTCACTCTTCAGATTTCTCATGATTGCCTTCAATTCCTACAAGCAAATGTATTAAAAAAAAAGCACTGAAACATGAAATGGACTGATGAGAGAATTAAGTATTAGCTGAAAATTATTTCATGAAACAGACAGCAGGTTACACACTTATCAGCCATATAGGTAATGCTGAAATAAATAAGAATTACAAAGTGGATAATTTTCAGTCCAGTGTGACATACAAGTTCATACAACACTTCCGTCTTTATTCACCTTACATGTTTCGATTCAAAAGAATCATCCTCCGAGGTGCACCACTACGATCAGGACACACTGTCACATAAGATGTTTTAATAATATGCACTTAAGCTATGAATAATGCTCACTATATGAATTTTGTTATTATCACAGTTAGTTTTGATGTTTGTCTTAGGCATTCACGATGGTGCTTCTTGAAGTGTAGATTTACGTATGATGCTGTTTCTTTTAAGCGTATTTGCTGGGTATTCTGTTTGGGATTTTCCACTGCACGCGATATGATGTTCACTTTTCCATACGGTAGCTTCCCAATGTATTTAAAATTGTATTAAAATTTTCTTTTGTATGTAAAAAATTAGTTACTATGTTAAAATATTGTGAGCCAACATTGGGTTCATGTTGTTTTCCTCCTGATGGTGGGAGTCATTGTTTATTTCTCTTGATTGTATGTTCTGTAAATATATTATTATATTAATTTTCTATTTTATTCTATCTTATACAGTTATATATAATGGTTTTAGGTTTACTAAAGTGTCTAGTTAAGCCTTACCTTATTTTTAGTCGTGTAGTTTATGTGCGTGTTGTGTCGTTTGTACTGTTTTGAATAGTGCTGTGTCTCATATTATATTCTTCCTGTGTTTATGACGTTGAAGAGGGTGTGTTCAAGTGATGTATAATAAGGTTAAACATGTTGTTTTGATTGTTTGTTTCCGTTCATCTATCAGTTTGTTGTGTGTGTTGTAGTAATATATTTGGAATTCCTCTTTTACGTTCATTATATTACCCTTATTAGCTTTTTCGATGATTTCCGTGACTGTTGATANTATAAGATAGAATAAAATAGAAAATTAATATAATAATATATTTACAGAACATACAATCAAGAGAAATAAACAACGACTCCCACCATCAGGAGGAAAACAACATGAACCCAATGTTGGCTCACGATATTTTAACATAGTAACTAATTTTTTACATACAAAAGAAAATTTTAATACAATTTTAAATACATTGGGAGGCTACTGTATGGAAAAGTGAACATCATATTGCGTGCAGTGGAAAATCCCAAACAGAATACCCAGCAAATACACTTAAAAGAAACAGCATCATACGTAAATCTACACTTCAAGAAGCGTCATCGTGAATGCCTAAGACAAACATCAAAACTAACTGTGATAATAACAAAATTTATATAGTGAGCATTATTCATAGCTTAAGTGCATATTATTAAAACATCTTATGTGACAGTGTTTCCTGATCGTAGTGGTGTGCCTCTGAGGATGATTCTTTTGAATCAAAACATGTAAGGTGAATAAAGACTGAAGTGTTGTAAACTTGTATGTCACACTGGACTGAAAATTATCCACTTTGTAATTAATAGTGTGATGGACCAGAATGAGACAAATAAAATAATAAGAATTACAAATTTAATCAGTAACAGATTCTATGTTACACCAATGAAGTAACTGAAAATAAAATATCCATAGAATGAATGCTTATAGCATCCACACCAAAAAATTTAATTAAATAAATAAAAATTCCACTTCCAAGAAAGATGAAGTCTGAATTACTCTGTTTTAGACCACCAAACAATCAGAACTAAGCATAATACCATGAAAAATGTTAATGTCATAATAAGGTAAATGCATTATAATTAAAATTCTACTTTCATATTCAGTGCTCAATAAAATGACAACTTGATTTTTATACTAACATATCTCTGGTGCTTTTGCATCTCTTGGCTGAATATTGTGTCAAGAGATTCCCCAGTTCGTGTCACAAGTTGACGTGTAATGTCATCCTGGCAAGTAGACTCCCTTAACTGTGAGGCCAACATTGCTCGTTGCTGCTTCATCTCTTCCACTTTACCAACCAAATGTTTCATTTCCTTCACTGAAGATTCATCACTTGGAGCTAATCAACCAATCCAAAATAAAAATATATTAGTTTAGATCTCAATATTTACTGAGATGCTTATCTGGTGACATAGATGATTTAATTAATTAATTTTGGGGGGTTGGGTGAGACTGAGTCCACTTGGTATGTTGGCAACTATCTGACCTACTGTACCAGCCCAAAATGATAATGATGAGTGTGGAGCAGTCAGTGGAATGAAAAGGGAACTGAAGTTCTCAGAGAAACTGGTACTAGTTTCACTTTGTCCATCAGAAATCCCACAAGACCTGACCTGGGATTGAACCCGGGCCAATGCGGTAGAAGCCAGCAACTAACTGCCTGAGCTATGGCATGACCATGATAAAGAGAATGTCAAGCACCAAAATATCCTAAGAAAATAATCTCATGGATATATTCACACACTCCCACAAACCTTAAGAACTGCTCTGTGTGTGGAGTCAGTAAGCGAACTATACTGACCGAGCGACCACTGCTTGTCAGCAAAGTTAGTGCAAACTTTAGTGGATAGAGGGTGTCACGTGGTCAGCGTAACGGATTCCCATGGCCTTTAATTTTGGTTCTCTAGACCACAGCTGCTATTTCCTTGAAACAGCTTCTCAATTATCCTCACGAGGCTGAGTGGACCTTGTTCCTGACCCACTACTTCTCAGAAAATCTGATAGCGCCAGGAATCGAACCCGGACCTCTGGATCTGTAGGCAGGAACTCTGACCACTAGACCACAGAGGCAACCAACCTTAAGAACTACACTGGACCCAAAGAAGGAAATGGCATGTAACATATCCTTCAGGACTGTCATTCATGAACAACAGTTCAATGCACTATAAGAATATGCTGTGAGTACTTACAGTCCAGTACAGTGATAGTAGGAACATGCTCTTGCAGTTCATCCAGGGGCAGGGACAAAACTCTGAGGTTGCTAATATGAAGTGTCATTGCTTTGTGAAGAGTCTGATTTGACTCCGAAGCTTTGGCATGTGCTTCCTGATACTTATTCGCTTCTCTTGTAAGATCTGTTGCTACAATCGAAGGTGGACGCTTTCCCATCACCTCTTGATACTCTTTCTCTCTCGTTTCTTCTTGCTACAATTGAAGATATAATTCTGAGTGCCTCTGGAAACATATACTTGCAAAAGTATAAACACACTGTTTAAACAAATATTTAAACTGCTTGTAAAGAACGTGATGTATGAAGGGGGACCCAAAAATAACCGGAACCGACCTGTTGCGCGCGCATGCTTTGTAGTTACGAGTTGTGCTGCTAGGTGGTGTTAGCTG